AAGAACACATTCTCCAGAGTTACCATATCCTATATAGATTTACCCATTAGCTTTATCAGTCCATGGCTGAGGTGATTTCAGGCTAGGGTGAAGGGATGTTAATTTGGGGTACTTTCAGCCTGCCAAGAATTTTAAAACACAGCTTAACACTGAAACCCTGAAACTATTCTTTAAATAATTTATTTTCCATTTGACATCTCTATTTCAACTAGCAATCACTTTCCCCTTCCTATGGCAACCATACTTTTTGAAATCATACAAATGTATCCATAAGGTATTTGCTCTTCTTCTTTAAAAAGTGAGGAGATAGATACCAAGAGACTCCTCTACCAAATTTCTCAATGGGAAGAGCTGTTCGTTGGTCTTTGGGAAAATCGCCATACTTGGTAGAAAGGAAGAGTGGACCATCCTGGAAACTCCAGATCAGCTTCTTGAAATATAAGAGTTTTCCCCAGTTCCCTGGTGGTCACAGTATTGGTTGGGTAATCTTCCTGACCAACAGGGTCTAGGGTGGCATGGCCCTGAGCTAAGAGTCAGCTTAGACTGCATGTGAAGTGGGGTGGTGGGGCACAGCTGGGGTGTAACCAACGGGGTCTTGACAAAAAGAGCAAATGAGGGCAGAAGCCCAAGAGAGTGGGAACTCACTTGAGGCTGCCAAAGGGTAAGGTGGTTTGAAGAAAAAAATAGAAATAAAAAGTTTGGAACAGTTAACACATTGAAATCTGTGGCAGTTTTTTATTCAACTCTGTCACCCCCTGTGTGGCTTGAGAGAAATAAAAAAATGTATACAGCTGGAGCACATGTGACTTTTGGAACAGAGGTAGGACAACGTCAGAAATATCATCAAAACTGCCTTTGTACATTTGTAATCCATTACTGGACCCTAAATTTATTTATACAATGACAATTATTGACTGTTTAAAAATTATCTTCTTTTTCTAGTGGAAAAACCTAAACGTGATGGATTAATGCCAAGGAATTGATGTTGTGAACCACAGCTGGAAAAGACTGCAAAACTGCGTAGAGACAGGCTCTTTATTTCAGAATGACTGGGATAAACTAACTACTAGCATAAATGTGTGAACGTGCTACATTAGAGAACATTATAAATCATTCATTCTTATTTTCAAGCATACATTCTTGAAATTGAATGGTCCCTGTTAGAATTGAACCTTCAGGGCCTTCTTATATAAATTACTTAGAATAGGGTATAATTGACATATCAATACTTTTTTATTTAAAAAGTCCTTCCAAATTTTTTGGTCTATTATGCTATCCAACTGTACTATTTTTTCTTGCAGAAGTTTGATGTGTCATTCACTTTTTTGTCCCAACCCATTACTCTATGAAGTAGAGGAATAAATAAATTTAAAAGTTCACCTAACACTATTATAGACTTAGAATCTGTCTTCCTATCTCAGAGTGAGGAGAGCATATTTTGGTAACCAAGATTCATAAGTTGAAATAAGTGAGAATTTTCTGTGTCAGCCACAACTTCTTTCTGCAGGTCACAATCCACGTTGCCAAGATGCTAGGTCAGCCTTGAAATAAGTTTTCAAAAGCCTTCAGTTCAGCAAACATTCAAAAGTCATGAAAAATGCCCAGGAGCACATTGGCAGCGTTCTCTGTACACAGTAACTTCCACCCCTTTCCCCAACACTGGGCTAAGTGGACTAAGGGGCCTGCCTGCAGCAAACACGCCCCGAGCTCTCACTGAGCACACATGTTCCCATGAAGAACCGAGGGGACTGGTTAGAGAGGCAGACACGGAGATGTCTGCCCATTATCAGTGCTTCTTTGGCTCATTTCTGATTTCTTTGGGGCTAGCGCTGATTTGCAAGCATTGGAAGGAATTAGTTATGAAGGGTTTTGCCAATTAGCAGGGAGGCCAAGCATCCCCCTGTTGGCTGCTCAACACAAACTTAATTGCCCTGTGGTTTGCAATATTCTTTTCTTCTCTGTGGCAGCTTCTGGGACGGTGGGTCTTGTCTCTATGCAGCTGGAATGCAGGCAGAGAATGTTACATCCAATCATCTGAAAGCAGAATGTACTTTTTTCCTAAATTATCTGTGACAAGCTACAGGGAAGGCCCCATCCCTGTGGTATGTATCAGTTTGGGTGAATAAATACATGCACTTCAGGATTTTATCAACTTTGATCATTGGGTCTCTTAACTTCAACCTCTCAAGACCAAGAGTCTTGATTATTATTTTCTGTCCTCATGAGAATATCTCTCTCCACTCCAATTTAGTGGCTCTTTCATGGCCTGGTCAGCTCTGTTCTGTCTCTTTGGAGAATTCAAATGAGGTAGGGGAGGAAATGGTATAGTGAGTAACCCCAAGATCCTTGGATTGTGCAAGTCCAGAGATCAAGTAAAGAGACTGCTACTGAATTGCTCTGACACAAAGGTCAAGGTGCTTAACTTTACTGAGTTTATTTCCTCATGAGTCAAATTAGAAGAATAATAGCACTTTCTTTATCCGCCTGTTATATGAGGATTAAATAAGTTAACATGTGTAACTATTAAAGTAGAATTTGGCTTATACAAATATAAGCATGATAATCTGCAAACATAAGCATAACTATATGCCTATGGTTTCCTCTTTACATAAATGTCAGGCAAATGACAATTTATGCATTTGATTGGAATATAAGCCTAGCATTTTTCTGAGGTACATTTGGTCCTATCTTCCAGGGTTAGATACACAGTAGAGCAATAGAAGGAATTAGTTATGAAGGGTTCTATTGCCTTAGAGCAATAGTTACTTATTAATGTTAACTGTGTACCTACAATACATAGGACTATATTATGGATCTTATTGAAAGCCACAATATTTTTTTTTATGGTGCTGGGGATCAAAATCTGGTCCCTGAGCATGCTAGGTAAGCACTCTACCACTGAACCACATCCCCATCCCTATTTTTTTTTTTATCTTTTATTCAAGCCTACTCCTGTTCAACGGTTGTGTTGGGTAGTGCGATCTTAGGAAGAACAAATCAAAGTCTTTACCCTCAGAAATTTTAACACCCGATTCATTGTCATGTACATAGTAACTACAAGCACTGTCACACTGTATTCATCAGCATTTATTAAGTGCTATAACAAACAGTCCCAATGCCTCAGACACTTCACAAAGGTTTATTTTTTATTCATATGACATTAGTTTTCTATTTATATGTAACAAATTATTCCAAAATTTAGTGGCTTTAAAGTAAACATGCATCTCACACAGTTTCTGGAGTCAAGAATCCAAAAGTAGCTTAGTTGGGTGATTTTAGCTCAATGTCTCTCCCAAAGTTGAACTCAAACAATGGGCTGGAGTTGTAGGACTAACTAAGCCTGGAGAATCGTTTTCTAAGTTCACTCACATGATTACAGGCAGGCCTCTATCATTTCTGCCATATGAGGTAGGTCACATAGGCAAACCCAAATGCCATGTAGGAGAGGGATACATAGTGTGAATACCAGAAGAACAGGGACCTTACGGCTAACTACCACATAATGAATATGTATCACATTCATAGTAAGTCATTGATCAGAGGAGATGGATGAAGTAGAATTTTGTTTCGTGTCATTTTACTCCAGGACCCAATCTCCTGTCATCTGGAGGATTCCCAAGAGCCCTGTACTTTCTCCCCCTGGTCCTCTGTTTCTCGCCAAAAGTCAGAAGCAATGGAAGCACAAGTGTCAGGAATGCCCAGGAGTTTAGAGGGACCAGACTTAGACATGGTGTGTAATATTTTATCCCACATTCCCCTGGTCAGAAATCACCTAATTGCTTGGGTGGTTGGGGAACACTGCTTGTCTGTGGCCTCAGATTAAAAGGGAAGGGGATTTGGTGAATGCATAGCAGTCACTCTGCCCCAGTCTCTATTTTAAAAGACTGTACATTTAAACGATTTAATTTTTCCAAAAGGCAGTCTCTTCAGTCTTAATACAAAAAAATATATATATATATATACGATTGCTTGCCATTATGGGACAAAGCAACTGATTGATCGCATATTTTTACCTTTTCAAATGCATTGTAAATGTGATCCGTGTTAAGGGCTAGCAAGCAGGTGGTGGAGAGCAGTTCCTGAACCATTAGGTTTGCTGCTTTTTCAGGAATACTATTAGGATGCTGGCAGAAACAAATCTTTCCTTGTTTCCCAAGTGGGGAAAGAAGAAAGTCTTTGTTCCCAAGCAAATGAAAATACAAATCACAAGACTAAAATGATGAATGCAAAACAATATATTAAAATGTGGCTTATGTGTAGCATTTGCATGCATTTTAATATGCATCTGTCATTCCCTTTTGCTAAATGCAGTAGGCTCTGAAAATATTAAACAATGGAGTACAATTAATGATTAGAGGAATTGTTCGGGAATATATTTTCACTTATTTATATTCCTATTGCCAAGCCTCTTTAAGGGCTCTAGGATATCAAATCAGATCATTTTGTTGATCAAATCTCAGATCACTATGGTCTAAAAGCAATTCACAAAGCCATTTTTCATAAACTGATATGAATATGCTCAGATGATTGCAAAATGACTACACCATCCTAGTATAGAAACATCCAGTCTAAAGCTGAAAGCTAGAAAAGGCTTTACGTGTCCCCAGGATCCGATATTCTCATCTCACCTACTCCTCAAGTCCAGCCATATTTACTTCTACAAAATTCATAAGAAATTTAAGATCATCTCCCACCCCAAGCCCAGTTTCCTGAGCCCTATGCTTCCGTTTTCTCCAAAGCTGAAGTTTTCAGACTGTTTTTGTCCTTTGCCAGGTTTGCTTACGTTGCTTCCCATGTGAAAACAAAAAAAAAAATACTGAAAAGGAACATCATTTTTAGGACAGTAGCAACAATGAACCAAACCTCAATCACACTTAGAATCCTTGCTCTCCGCCCATCACGATTTCTGGACCAGCCAAGAAGAATGTATTTCCTGGGAACTCAGCTCCAAGCCATAAACTCGAAATACATCAAGCTTTTTGTTGTTAATTGGCACTTACCTCACCTGAAGGCCCTTGCCAAGAAGAGCAGAGGGGTTTAATGGGGAAGGAAGAAAGGAAAGAGCCCCGCAGCCCTGGAAAACACTCCCAGCCACATGTGATTTTTAGCTGGGGGGCTCTGCAGCCCCAGCTTGCTTCAGCAACAAAGTGGCCTATGTACTTTCTCAGACCTCCGCTGTTTGTTTGGGGGGTAATGCGCAGACTGGGGCCTGAGTGATAACTGCTTGGTGTAATTACCAAGACAGCTTGAAAACTATGCTCCCCTTTGTTTCTGCCTCCAGATGACGGCTGTCTGACCGCTGTTTGTGCCAGTTTTATTTCAAAGCGCTTTTCTTTCCATATTTCAAAGGTCAGTGTGTTTACTGATGGCCAAAAAGAGCCTGTGTGTCAGAGAAAGAAATGCATGTGGCTAACTGGCCCGGGTACCAGAAGAGGAGGTGGGGGAACTGCATGCGGAATCCCAGGGAATCTTCTAGATAAGGCAGAGAACTCCAAGGACTTGACCTCTCCTTCATGGCCACTGACAGGGAAGGAAGCAAATGAGATCAATGGTCTGTTTTTAGGATGAAAGAAAAAGTTCTAGAAGTCTGATTCAGGAAAAAGAAATGTAGGTATTTCCAGTAAAGAAACATGATCAAATACTCGGCCAAGAAAATGTTCACTTCATCTCCTTGAAATAGAAATATTTCCTGCCTCTAAGAAAGCAGTCTTGACAGTCTGGCCATCCTTGGAAACCTTGAGATTGTTTCAGGTCAAGGAATGTGAGCACTGAGACATAATAGGGAAGCCCAAACCCTTTTGTAAGGCTGTCAGTTGACTCTCTGCCACCATTACTTAGGAGAACAAGGTTGATCAGACTGTTACCTGCCCGTATATAAAATATTAGTGCTTCTACTATGAATATTTGAAAACAGCATCAGATTTCAATGACATAAACTCAGTACTTATTTCAAATGTTCTTCAGGGTTCATTTTCTTCTACTCTGTATTTGTCCCAACGGTCTTCTCTGGATGTAACATAGACTGGGCTTTTGGGATAAAAGGTGGGTAAGCTTTGAAGAGGGAGAAAGTGCCTCCCCCAATTAGATTTGTCTGGGTTAAGATCTTAGGACTGCCACATATTAAAGTGTGGCCTTGGAAAATTCACTTGATGAGTCTGTGCCTCCGTTTCCTTGTCTGTGAATACACGGGATTCCTGGGGCTCTGAGGATTCAATGGAAATACACGTGGGGGGTGTGCGAAACAGTCACTGGTGCTTTGTAAACATTCAAACGTAGCTAATCACAAAAAACACTCCCCTTTCTGAAATGAATTATGCTCGGGGATGGGGTGCTCTTTGATGCTACTATTTCTCTTCTTGAATCAATCCATCTACACCTGTAAAAATAAAAAAGAGTAAATTTGTAAATGCCAAAGGGAACAAACAGTGCCTGTATAGTAAAAGGAGTAAGAAAATAAAACAGAGAACTACCAGTGAGGTGTCTAAAACTTAACCTCCCAGTTACTGTGAATTTCCAGCCTCCTATGAATTTAGGGTAACTCTCTGTCTTTAATTTGCACATGGCATTAAAGACAGAATTCTTATTACTTTATCAGGAAGAAGACATGGCAAGTCTTGTTTATAGCTAAGAAGGTGTGGAAGAGAAAGAAAGGGGTTAAAGTGTATTAAAGACTATTTTCATTGCATTTAATGCATGAGATGAATATCATTACTTCCATTTTACAATTAAAACAAAACAAAACAAGTTTCAGGGAGTTTGACTTTTTGCTCTATGTAGGCAGTCAGCAGTGTGGCTGGATGTAAATCCACATGTATTTGGCTTGCTACCTTTGCCTCCTTTCTATATCTATTTCTTAGGAAAAACCCAATTAAAATGTTGCTCTGAGAGGCTTTCCAGATAAGGTTGAATCAAGAGGATTCATTATCACACTGGTGATCTTAGCAATACTTGTGGTACTCGTACTTCTTCTAAGCCATTTCTGCCCCTGTTCAACTGAAGTAGACTCATGGGAGTCTTTGTTTTGAATCATGTAATTTTAGGTATGAAGGAGAGGGAGACTTTCAGAATGATAATTTCCGTTCACTGCTGAAGTCAGAGCAAGTGATTCGCTGCCACTGGAAGGATGTCTACCAGTCTGTATCTTAAAAATTCTACCTGTTGATAGAATGGGATAGACATTATTACCCTAAATACATGTATGATTACACTACTGAAGGGACTCTGCACCATAGACAGCAGAGGAATGAGAAGTTGTGCTCCATTTGTGTCCAATATGCCCCAATTCATTCTACTATAAAAATAAATAAATAAATAATTTTTAAAAAAAATTCTACATGTTACCCAGGCAGTTGCTGAATACTTTGCTGCTATAAAAAATTAGTTCAAATCTAGTGGCTTAAACCAACATGGATTTATCATCATACAGATCTGGAAGTTGGAAATTCAATATGACATCAATATCGCAGGAGAATTCCTTCCTCAGGCTCTAGGGGAGAATCTATTTTCTGGCCTCTTCCAGCTTCTAGATCTGCCTGCATTCCTTGGCTCATAGCCCCTTCCAATCTTCAAAGCCAGCAATGGCAGCCAAGTCTTTCTGACATCACACTATTCTGACATTGACTCTTCTGCTTCTCTTTTGCACATTTAAAGAAACCCTGTGATTACATGAGGACTGCTGAGAAAATCCAGGATGATCTCATTTTAAGGTCAGTTGATCAGCAGCCGTCATTCCGTCTGCAACCTCAGTTCTTCCTCGTTATATAACATAACGTATCCACAGATTCCGAACACATATATCTTTGAGGGGCCATTATCCTGCCTACCACAGATACCTACATGATGCTCTTGATAGGCTGCATCTTTAACATCCTTTCTCTGGCACATTCTAGCTATATAACTTTGGGCAGATTACTTGATTTCTTGGATCCCCAGTTTCCTAACATGAGAATAGGATCACTACTTACCTTGTGAAGTTGTTATGAGGATTAAATACATGAAAACTTTTAGAATATCCTCTGACATTTAATTCTTAGCTCTTACTATCATTATCTTTGTGAATATTATTCTGAAGATGACACTGACAACTAGGACATAATTTGTGCAACCAGGAGGCACATTTATCTCAAGATCTTACTTTGCTATATGCCAGAGGTTGTTGCTGCCCATGGCTTCTCTTGTCTCCTCTTGCTCTAGGTTGGCCATCAATCTGCAGGCCATCTTTTCTGCCATCCATTCAGCCCATGGTGACCCAAATTGCACAGCAGTCTAGAAGCAGTCCGGTATGCATGAAAGCTCTCATGTTGATTATTATACAATCTTGCAGTTGGAATTGGTCTGTCAAAGGTAAAGAAAATAAGAAGAAAATTGTATATGTAAGAAGCAACATGAGCAATGATGTAGGTAAGCATTGTTTCTTGGTTGAGTTTGGGAGTTCTGGTCTGAAAAAATTTTGAGGTTAGTGTAAGGCTGACTCAATCAATGTCAATCCTCTGGTTCAAATTTTTAAAACACTGGCTCTTCTCTACAGTAGGCAGGTTGAACTTTCAATTGTTGTGGAATACGCTGGGGTTCGAATGCAGGCTTTGGCAGTTATAGATTTGTGTTCTGGTGTGCATTATTAATATGGGCAGGTGCTTAATGATAAGAGAACATAAAAGTTCCCCTAACAAGTATTTTTATATTGAGAATCACAACCTCTGGGACATGAGTCCCTTTTGTTTCTTCCTTGTAAAGCAAAGCAATAAAATGTCTTTTTCCTTTTTCGCAAAATCATGTCCTCATTATTGGATTGACATCAGGGACGAGGATCCAGCTTTCGGCAATAAATTTGGCGACCCAGACGGGATCTGAGAGCAGCCCCTGCTGCAAATTTCTTGGGCAGGCCTGGCTCTCCAAAGAACCCTACTTTCAAGCTGAGGATTTAAGGTGCTGGTGAACTTCGTGAGAATTTCAAGAGAGTTAGATTATGGGTGAGTTTGCCTCCAGTCGAACCAGGGGGCTATTCCTGTGAATAAAGAGAAGAATTGATAGACCATCCCAGCAGCTGCCAAATCTCCTTTTGCTTCAGGGAACTCCTGCTTTCTCTCTCTGAACAGTATAGGTTGCTCCACCATAGTCCACATTGAGAAAAAGAAAACTGAACTCAGTAAAGTCACGACACCTTTGGCCATTAGGTAAGTTCCCTGGTGTACATAAAGAGACCCTTGATTCTACACATCTGGTTCTTCTGTAGAAACATCTGGTTCATCTTTTTTTTTTTTAAGAGAGAGTGGG